GATTAGCGCGCAAGCAGAAGATCCAGGGCACCCTTTGGCCTTTGAGACGGTATAGGATATCCAGGATATCCACTCAATGACCACTTAAATTTGGATGTATATAGATGAAATGGCAGCTACAGCTAAAGTAGCACAACAATGAAAGATCTGACGGAAACTTAGCAAGCAAACTCAAGAGTGGATTTGGCGAAATCCCAGCCACACTCCATTGGATGCCACATGGGAAGAAAGGAGCAAATGTGGCAGAGCAACGCCAAAAATTTGTGGAAGAGCATCATCATTGATGGACTAATCAAAGGTCAATGCAGAAGCGGGAGCCTTGAAAACGCAAGTCAAAATTCAGCCGGGGGCTTTGGAGCGCAATAAATGTGAAGAAGAAGTAGACAAAGAAAGAGCACTTGTCATCTTGAAAAGGGTTTCTTTAAAGAACGAAACCTTGCAAATGGAAGCAAACTCCGAAAGCATGTGGAAGCATTGCCCTTGAATTTATGAACGTGGCTTCGATTCTGAATCAGGCAGAAAAGGCCTTTTGTTCGGCTTCTGGACTCCCTGGCAGGTGACGCGCGGCTTGAAGGTCGTTCGGCTAATACGCTTGGCGCGGCTTCTGCGACTGGCAAAGAAGCTCGGCGTTGCAGCGGCAGCCAATCCAACAGAGATGGTTTGGGTGTTAATTGGGTCAAGATGATGTCGCAAGATGTCGCGAGCACTGAGTACTAAGAGTGATACTACATGTGCCATGAGTTACCCATATTGCGGATTGTCATCCCATCCCCCATTGATAGATTTAATAGCATTATTGATAGTTTATGTTTCCATTATGGGATGGATGACCGTACCCCCTACAGCATGCGACTGAGGCTTCGGCAGATCACCGAGAGACTTGCTTGCAGTTGCAGCAGAGGATTCAGAGGGAAGCACCAATGGATGGGTCAAAACATGAAATTCATTTTTAGTATTCCAGTATTATCTAGTCATTTCCATATCAATCCATATCACGTAATTAATTATATCACTTTGAGGTTGGTGAACCAGGTCCCAGGTGACCCTGAGTGACCAAGGGCGGCGGAAACCTTCATGGAAGGCAAATATGCTGCGGAGCTTGCTATGGGCTTCGGAAAGGCCGACAGCAAATCACACGGATTGAAAGGGTTTCTAAGTCTGATAGCGGCGAAATGCTTCTTGATGCATCTGAAATCACAAAAGGAGTAGCATCATGGAAGATCTAGTGTGCTTCATGTTGCAGTAGATTTTTGTTAATTATATACATGGCACTTGCCTTGACATTGCCATGCATCAGCAATGTTGCAATGGGATGACAACGATGTTACACCGACGTGCAGATAAGATTCGCATTGCGTTGATAGTACGTACATCTTCACAGTTCAATGTCAACGCACATGTTCACCGAATTTTTCACCGTACATTGGCGGCATATGTACATTGCCTTGCATTGCACTGGCTTTGATTTCACTGAGTTGTTCTAGATTGCAGTACATGAGTAGAGACATTGCATGAGGGATCATGCACGCTGCACGCAGATACGCAGATTTCCATACACACATTCACATTCGTCCAAAGATTCACAGATTGAGGTTTAACATGATGGAAATCCAAGGGTTCAGTAAAGGTATCACCCAAACAATCAAGGTTTGATATGGTTTGATAAGCTTTAAATGCGTTGCACCTGGAGGTTCTCATGTTGCTCTTCGCGGTGTCCCACTGGTGTGCTTGTTTTTGGCATGCCGTGGGTTCTGAGGAGGTGCGTGCCTGTGTGTGCCGTCGTATTCTCTGAGATCCGATTTTGTGGGCAAAACCATATCACCGAGGGTGGCTGGGTTGCAGCCGCAGAATCTTCGAAGGACATTGTGACGCCGGAGTTTGACGGAGACCCTTTGGAAACCAAACAAAGACGTCCAGTCTTACTGGTTTTATACTGACACAACCCAGACGGCCCAAGCAACTGCAGGACTACCGGGGCACGGATCTCCTCTTTGCAAAGCCACTTGACAGCAATCAAAAGACCTACGTGTCTCTTGTCAGGTTTGAGCACTCGTGAATGCCAGGTACACTTGGTCATTGTACTTCACTTTGACCACTCTGACGACCGTGGGTTATGGTCACTGAGCTGCAGATAGATGCTACGGGCACATACTAGTTGCAGTGCCTTGCTGTTCCTTGCTGTTCCTTGCTGTGCCTTGCTGTTGGTGCCGAGGCGACATCACACCTGTGTGGCTCAGCTTCAGAACAGCAGAAATGACAATTGGACATGCCAAAGAGAGAGGACAAGTTTGAACAGCTGTCTTGCACCGACTGAGGACCACCGAAGAGTGTCGATGGGTGTTGCTCCTTCTTCTCACCTCGGCAGTCATATTTTCTGGTCTTTTGGGCATGCTTAGTGATCTCGTGGCCAGCGTGAACAAGGATTGACTTCCGACCTGGAATGGCCAGGTGAGAGGTCTTATTGTTGACGATTTGTTTGGATTTTACAGGGTGGCAAACATAGAAAGCTGTCTAAAAATGCATCTACAGTAACAAGTACATAGAATAATATAGTATACCGTAATGACAGCAATGGATATACAATTCGAATAGGATCGTATAGTATAGTATGCTTTACAAAAATCAATATACAATGTATATATATATATATACAATGTATATATATACAATGTATATATATATATATATGTATATATATACATACACTGTATATATAATATAATATGTTGTCATACAATATATTCATATGATACGATTCAATATTACATTATGTTATATAATAATATAATATACTATAATATAATATAATATAATAAAATATAATATAATATAATATAATGTGATATAACATAATATAATATAGTATAATATAATATAACATAATATAGTACAATACGATATATACACTATGACACAAAATAATAGAATATGACCGAGTATGATGACTATGATATAATATGATATAATATGATACACTATGATACACAAGGACACAATATATATGACATAATACACCATGATACAACGTGATATGATATGATATGACATGATATGATATGATATGATATGATATGATATGAAATGTTAATATATTAGTATAGACAATGTAATTCGCTTATTGTCAAGAGCTTAAATATTCAGACAGGATGCTGCAAGGATAATGCGGCTTCAATTCTGTCAACATCCCAACACACACAATGTGATTACAGTATGAGCACCTTGGTTCGGGATGGGAGAAGAACACAGTCTACTCTTTTGTGGCGGCAGAAATTCATGGAAGCCATTCATCAAGTAATAAAAATGAATAGAAGTGGAGCATGAGACTCAACATCAAAAGCAGCAAACATCGAAGTGTCGTTTGAGGTGGAATATGAGTGAGCCCAGACTCACACCCATTATATAGTGGTGCATGAAGTTTGCTATGGCAGTAGAAGAGTAGGAAACTGAAAAATCATTCAGTGTCAGAACTCTTGTAACATTCGTTGCATGGGAGGTCAAACTGACTGATCACTTTCTACGATTCTATATCATAGCAGTAGGATTGTGTCCGTTCGGGTTGATTAGCTGTCCTGGCCTTTCTTTAGGTTTGAACGTAGTGAAAACAACAATGCAGGTTTTGAAGGAGGCTTCGAAGACACGCTCAGTCAAACCTGGATCCGCTAGACTTTGCACGACAGCTGCTGAATATCCTCAGGCAGTAAAGAAGCAACAAAGAAACAACAAAGAAGCAACGGCCAGCCTTGAACTCGCTGTGATGCAGGAACATCGCCTCATTGCAGCAAAGAAAAGGCAGCTTGCTAGGTGCCTGAATCCAGTGGGTGCTTCTGGGAAGGTTTAAAGATAGGCAGAGTATGTCACACTCTTGGAGTTTCAAATTCGAAATTTTAGATACGTCTCAAGGATTCAGTGTTCTTGACAGAGCATTCTTGCTTTTTGTATCTTCTTGTAGCTTTTTTGTCCAGTCCACAGTCCACCAGGTACATGGCATGGCGAGCTGTTCCGCGCAACTTACTTGGCAAGGCCAGCTGTCGCGGCGACGATGGCGACATGTGAACTGTGACGACATGTGACGACTGTGATGCCGCCAGCCGAGCTGCTAGGTGCGGAGGTACTTTTTGCGACTTGGAAAGCAAGAGAAGCATAATATTTGAGAGATGTCTTTAGCAAATCGATAGGGAATCAAGGAACACACACCCATTTATATATACAAGCTATCACTAGGTTTGGGCAAACTCGTTTGACCTTAGGTTCAAATGGGGTGCACAGAAGGAGACTGCCTTTGTACCTTTGTAGTGGTGCTTTTCATCGCAGCCCTGCATCCATGCAGTTCTATTGGCTTGATACAGGACTATGACTTGTACGAAGAGGAGCTTAAGCGTTCATTGACGCCAACTTTGCGCTCTGATCTTTGCTACCACATTTACAAGGAAGCCGCTCCTGGAAAGTTATCAAGCACTTGCAGTTGCCACGAAATGTTCCAATCATTCTGGATTGCTTCCCTGCTAGAATCTCCAAGCCCGTTGTTCTGAAGGATGTTTTGACTGCATCTCCCTTCCTGGCATGGCCTGCAGCTCAAGCAACAGCATTTGAAGATATAGAATTTGTGCATTTGACCAAGTACCGACTTCAGTTGATGAAGTGAGTAGCAATGAGGATGAGAGGGCACACAGCCTGTATCAAGCACCTGGCTACAAGTGGATGGCTTAGCCTCGTTTCAAACGTGTCATGGTGCCTGCCCATGGTGCCATCGCAGGTTGTCGATCTGGGTTCCATGACAACGGCGACTTTCTCTTTAGAACCGGCGAGGAGATGAAGGACGTCGATGAATTGCTATGGGTCAAAAGCCATAGAATTCCCTTAAGTGAGCACCTAAATAGCCGGTCAATGGATGTTCATCGCCCCAAAATATGGTAATTCATAGGTTTTGACCCCAAATTAAATGATGATAGATTCTAGATGCAGCTCTACCCCGCCATCTGCAGGACATCATCATTTTGCTGGCTGGCACCACTGTGCTGTACAGGACCTTATCTTGCACTTCACCAATGCAACCAGCTCTTCCTTCCCCAATTTCTGGCGCAGGAATGATACAGATGCAGAGGACCAAGAAGACTTTCTGGAGCAGGAGATAGAATCAAACGAAATCAAATGGCATGAAATGTTATTTTCTCCTCGAAAATCGTGTCATGAAAATACAGGCTGTCCACAGCAGTGCCGCAGGACAACCTATTCCCATGGATGGAGCTTGAGGGGCATCAAGCGATGCAAAAGAAGCTTCTCTTGAGGCAAATGATGACCTCAGTGATTCGCAACATGAAAACAAGGCCCGGTGGGTCATGTGGCTACTGGTAGCATCTGGTAGCAGGAGTGCAGATAGATAGATCCGGTGTTTTGCTTTGCACAGAGCCGGTCCACAAAAATCCTTTCCTTTGTTTTTCAGTGAGTTACTGGAATTTGTCGAATGCAAACAGCCCTTTCAGCATCCTGAACTTGATGATTCGCTCGGTTGAAACTCAATGTGAATTGAATATGCAAAGCAGAATCCGCACGTGAATTCTTCTCCCTCTTGTGGACGGACACGCCAACCTAAATCAGCAACCTCGCTGTTGTTTGCAAGGAAGGGGAAGGCGAGATCTATTGGTCTCTCCTCTCGATCCAATGATATGGAGGGCCATTTCTATGGGCAGTGCAAGAACGAGAATTTGGTCCGAGGCCTCTCAGAACTCAAGAAATTTGATGCAGTTCAGAAATCTGCAGCGATGCTGATTCAGTTGGTGTGGAGAGAACGAATAAGACGTCGTGGAGGTGGTGCAGATGTACAGAAGAAATCTCAGGGCCATACCTGCTATGCAGTAGACGCACCGGCCTACTTTGGAGAATCATCCCTTTGGACACCGTACTCCACTTGGACCACCCGGGCTGCGATTCATGAATACACCATTCGAGTGAAGTCGCAGGTGGAGGTGGTCAACATTCCTCGCCTGGCCATCGCGGTGTGCATCGAGAAGTTTTCACCTTGGCTCAGGAATCGCTTTGAGGTCTTTCAGGCTGCCGTGCTCCATGACAGAGACTTTCTTGCGGATAAAGAGTCACAGGTGTCCACAAAGCCCAGTAGCTTGGCACTTATACAGGGATCAATTTGTCACCAACATTCACAGTTTGTGTTGAAGCTGGGGGCTGGGGGGTTGCCTTGGGTCAAATATTTGTACATACTTTGTTTCGTGTGGGTGCTGCTTAAGATTGATACTTGGAAGAAACGATGAAAACACAATGCAGGGGCAAAGGGGGCCGAAACGTGGGTTTCCGACGTTGCGCTGTGACGCTCCCCGGGGCGGGTGGCGCTGCGACGCTGCGACGCTGCGACGCTGCGACGCTCTGGGGGGCGGGTGGCGCTGCGGCGCTGCGGCGCTGCGACGCTGCGACGCTGCGACGCGGGAGCGACGCTGCGACGCTGTTGGCGCTGCGATGCTGCGACGCTGCGACGCGGGAGCAACGCTGCGACCCTGTTGGCGCTGCGACGCTGCGACTCTGCGACGCGGGAGCGACGCTGCGACGCTGTTGGCGCTGCGACGCTGCGACGCGGGAGCGACGCTGCGACGCTGTTGGCGCTGCGACGCTGCAACGCTGCGACGCTGGAGCAACGTTGCGACGCTGTTGGCGCTGTTGGCGCTGCGACGCTGCGACGCGGGAGCGACGCTGCGACGCTGTTGGCGCTGCGACGCTTCCTTCTGCAAGAGTGCACATGGCGTTGCTTCGCGGCTCGACACGCTAGATGTATATAGCACATGATGCAATGCCTTGCATCAGGGATTGCAGTGATTGAACGATGTTTCCCTCTTCAGTTGCCAGCTGGGTATGCATGTGGTGATTGCAAGCTTTTGAATGCGTAATGCATGAGTAATTGGGCTAAGCCTAGCCTGCGTGAAGTTTCTGTAAGTCTTGGGTTTCAGTTGCTAAGCCTGCCCTCAAACCCTTATTGAAGATCGTCAATGAATGTAGAAGTTTAACGGGGCTGGGGAGAATTAAACCCTTATTGAACTTCTTGAATGAATGTAGAAGTTTAACGGGGCTGGGAGAATTAAACCCTTATTGACGATCTTCAATGAATGTAGAGGTTTAACGGGGCTGGGAGAATTAAACCCTGATTGAAGATCTTCAATGAATGTAGAAGTTTAACGGGGCTGGAAGAATTAAACCCTGATTGAAGATCTTCAATGAATGTAGAAGTTGAACGGGGCTGGGAGAATTAAACCCTTATTGAAGATCTTCAATGTAGAGGTTTAACGGGGCTGGAAGAATTAAACCCTTATTGAAGATCTTTGACGAATGTAGAAGTTGAACGGGGCTGGGAGAATTAAACCCTTATTGAAGATCTTCAATGAATGTAGAAGTTTAACGGGGGTGGGAGAATTAAACCCTCATTGAAGATCTTCAATGAATGTAGAAGTTTAACGGGGCTGGGGAGAATTAAACCCTGATTGAAGATCTTCAATGAATGTAGAAGTTTAACGGGGCTGGGAGAATTAAACCCTTATTGAAGATCTTCAACGAATGTAGAAGTTTAACGGGGCTGGGAGAATTAAACCCTTATTGAAGATCTTCAATGAATGTAGAAGTTTAACGGGGCTGGGAGAATTAAACCCTGATTGAAGATCTTCAATGAATGTAGAAGTTGAACGGGGCTGGGAGAATTAAACCCTTATTGAAGATCTTCAATGTATGTAGAAGTTTAACGGGGGTGGTGAGAATTAAACCCTCATTGAAGATCTTCAATGAATGTAGAAGTTTAACGGGGTGGTGAGAATTAAACCCTCATTGAAGATCTTCAATGAATGTAGTTTTAACGGGGGTGGGAGAATTAAACCCTCATTGAAGATCTTCAATGAATGTAGAAGTTTAACGGGGCTGGGAGAATTAAACCCTTATTGAAGATCTTCAATGAATGTAGAGGTTTAACGGGGCTGGGAGAATTAAACCCTTATTGAAGATCTTCAATGAATGTAGAAGTTTAACGGGGCTGGGAGAATTAAACCCCCATTGAAGATCTTTGATGAATGTAGAAGTTTAACGGGGCTGGGGGGAATTAAGCCCTCATTGAAGATCTTTGACGAATGTAGAAGTTGAACGGGGGTTGGGGAGAATTAAACCCTCATTGAAGATCTTCAATGAATGTAGAAGTTGAACGGGTCTGGGAGAATTAAACCCTCATTGAAGATCTTCAATGAATGTAGAAGTTAAACGGGGGTGGGAGAATTAAACCTTCATTGAAGATCTTCAATGAATGTAGAAGTTGAACGGGGCTGGGAGAATTAAACCCTTATTGAAGATCTTCAATGAATGTAGAAGTTGAACGGGGCTGGGAGAATTAAAGCCTTGTTGAAGATCTTCAAGGCATGTAGAAGTTTAACGGGGCTGGGAGAATTAAACCCTTATTGAAGATCTTCAACGAATGTAGAAGTTAAACGGGGCTGGGAGAATTAAACCCTGATTGAAGATCTTTGACGAATGTAGAAGTTTAACGGGGCTGGGAGAATTAAACCCCCATTGAAGATCTTCAATGAATGTAGAAGTTTAACGGGGCTGGGAGAATTAAACCCTCATTGAAGATCTTCAATGAATGTAGAAGTTTAACGGGGGTGGGAGAATTAAACCCTCATTGAAGATCTTCAATGAATGTAGAAGTTTAACGGGGTGGTGAGAATTAAACCCTCATTGAAGATCTTCAATGAATGTAGAAGTTTAACGGGGCTGGGAGAATTAAACCCTCATTGAAGATCTTCAATGAATGTAGAAGTTTAACGGAGCTGGGGGAATTAACCCCTTTTTGAAGATCTTCAATGAATGTAGAAGTTTAACGGGGCTGGGAGAATTAAACCCTTTTTGAAGATCTTCAATGAATGTAGAAGTTTAACGGGGCTGGGAGAATTAAACCCTCAAACCCTGATTGAAGGTCTTCAATGAATGTAGAAGTTGAAAGGGGGTGGGGAGAATTAAACCCTTATTGAAGATCTTCAATGAATGTAGAAGTTTAACGGGGCTGGGGAGAATTAAACCCTTTTTGAAGCTCTTCAATGAATGTAGAAGTTTAACGGGGCTGGGAGAATTAAACCCTGATTGAAGATCTTCAATGAATGTAGAAGTTGAACGGGGCTGGGAGAATTAAGCCCTTATTGAAAATCTTCAATGAATGTAGAAGTTTAACGGGGTGGTGAGAATTAAACCCTCATTGAAGATCTTCAATGAATGTAGAAGTTGAACGGGGCTGGGAGAATTAAACCCTTATTGAAGATCTTCAATGAATGTAGAAGTTGAACGGGGCTGGGAGAATTAAACCCTCATTGAAGATTTTCAATGAATGTAGAAGTTTAACGGGGCTGGGAGAATTAAACCCTCATTGAAGATCTTCAATGAATGTAGAAGTTTAACGGGGCTGGGGAGAATTAAACCCTTATTGAAGATCTTCAACGAATGTAGCAGTTTAACGGGGCTGGGAGAATTAAACCCTTATTGAAGATCTTCAACGAATGTAGAAGTTTAACGGGGCTGGGAGAATTAAACCCTTATTGAAGATCTTCAAGGCATGTAGAAGTTTAACGGGGCTGGGAGAATTAAACCCTTATTGAAGATCTTCAACGAATGTAGAAGTTAAACGGGGCTGGGAGAATTAAACCCTGATTGAAGATCTTCAATGAATGTAGAAGTTTAACGGGGCTGGGAGAATTAAACCCCCATTGAAGATCTTCAATGAATGTAGAAGTTTAACGGGGTGGTGAGAATTAAACCCTCATTGAAGATCTTCAATGAATGTAGAAGTTGAACGGGGCTGGGAGAATTAAACCCCCATTGAAGATCTTTGACGAATGTAGAAGTTGAACGGGGGTGGGGTGAAGTATACCCTCATTGAAGATCTTCAACGGATGTAGGAGTTTAACGGGGGCTGGGAGAATTAAACCCTTATTGAAGATCTTCAATGAATGTAGAAGTTTAACGGGGCTGGGAGAATTAAACCCTTATTGAAGATCTTCAATGAATGTAGAAGTTTAACGGGGGTGGGAGAATTAAACCCTCATTGAAGATCTTCAATGAATGTAGAAGTTTAACGGGGCTGGAAGAATTAAACCCTGATTGAAGATCTTCAATGAATGTAGAAGTTTAACGGGGCTGGGAGAATTAAACCCTTATTGAAGATCTTCAGTGAATGTGGAAGTTTAACGGGGCTGGGAGAATTAAACCCTTATTGAAGATCTTCAATGAATGTAGAAGTTTAACGGGGCGAGGTAGTGTTCAGAGGGGGTCGCTGGGTTGATCTTCGAAGATGCAACATATATTCAAAGGGGGTGGCGGGGCTGATGTCTCAAGGTGCAACGTATTGTTCAGAGGGGGTTGGGGAGTTGATGTCTTGTGATGGTGAAGATGCAACATAGTGTTCAGAGGGGGTGCCAGGGCTACTGTCTCAGCTTGTCCGGTGGCTTCTCGGCTTCTCGGCTTGTCCGGTGGCTTCTCGGCTTCTCGGCTTGTCCGGTGGCTTCTCGGCTTCTCGGCTTGCCCGGCGGCTCCGGTGGCTTATCGGCTTCTCGGCTTGCCCGGCGGCTCCGGTGGCTTCTCGGCTTGCCCGGCGGCTCCTCGGCTTCGCGGCTTCTCGGCTTCTCCGCTTGCCCGGCGGCTCCTCGGCTTCGCGGCTTCTCGGCTTCTCGCCGTGTCCGGTGGCTTCGCGGCTTCCCGGCTTCTCGGCTTCTCGGCTTGTGTCGTACTTCGCGGCTTCGCGGCTTCTCGGCTTCTCGGCTTGTGTCGGGCTTCTCGGCTTCTCGGCTTCTCGGCTTCTGGTCGCATTTCTGGGCCCCTTTTGCCCGTGCTTTGTGAAAACATACGAAAACCGAATACCCTGTTTAAGACTCATTAGTGTAGTCATTGGTGTACTTGGAGATTGGTGAGGTGCAGCTTTCAAACACACATCAAACCTACTTGTGTGAGGAGATATGATTTGGTTCCACTCTCCACCTGGCCTTTTCGGAATCTCCCAGGTATGGGGGTGGGTCAAAATTTCTTGGCTCAGGCAACCACAGATTTTGGACATTTTTAGAGTAATTAGTATAAATTAATCGTACTTATTAAATGCTATATGACATGCTATTATATTAACCTTAGGTTATTCATTTAAACATCCAATTCTAGCTGGTGCCCGATTTTGACGCCTCTAGCCATCAAAATTCCACCAAGCTGTTCCGAATTTCCAAGGTGACGTTCCTCTCCTTTCAGTCGTTCCAGAGCATCTCGAGCTTCAGGACCTTGACCCACGATCTGAACTTGTCTGGACTTGAAACGGGTGTGTCTGAAACTGGGCACCCTTCAATCATGGCAATTTTCATGGGGATGATGAACCAATGGATTTGGAGGTCGATTTTCAGACAGACCTAAACCAGGTTTTATTTGTAGTTCTCTGCATTTAGCATAATCACGCATACAAATCCACATTGTGCGGTTTGCATTCTTTTGCACTTGCAGTGCTTGTGGGTTTATTTCAAAATCCGTATGTTTGGACCTTGGTAATGACCACACGGCTTCGGCGTGGCCAGACGCATTCAACATGGAAAGGAGGACGAAAAGGACGAGATCAAGAACAGCAGCAGCACCTCGTTGAGATTGTGATGGGCATTGCTGATCGACTTCCTGAGGTTTTGCAATTTGCCGCCAAAAATTGGCGAGTGCCAATCAAGTACCATGATGACGCTGGTTGTCACAAAGGAATTCAGAGGTTTCGCTGAGATTTGGCTGCGCATGTTACAATACATGCATTTTGCAAGTTTCTACTCCAGTGATTTCAAAGAAGCCACTTGAACATATCCAAGACTGGCAAACTGCCCAATTGGCACTGCCGAAACCTTTTTTGTGCGGAGATTCAGCAAAGAGAAGGTGGGGACTCGGGGACCAACAAGTCCATGGTGCTAGACTTTCTTTAGAATAAGGGATCAGTAAGGGATCCAAGATGTGAAAACATGTATACTTCATGTGAACAAGTCGTGTGACGGATGGGAATTGAATAGTGGGGTGGCTAAGCAGAGGGAACTTGAGGTGGGTTTGTCTGGTGGAAAGTGGCAGAAAGTGGCTGTTTATCCACACTCAAAAAGTCTGATGAGCTCGTGATCGAGTGAGACTGCAGGAACGTTCGTTTCGGAGCAGCTTCCCAATCATCAGTTTGACATGGGGATGGATAACACTGCTGGCCATTTATCGGATGAGCTGACAACGTGGGCCCAAGGAAAGAAAGAGCCGGACTATGCATACCATGCAAAGGGGTAAGTGACAGTCGACCAAATACACACCGGCGAGACAATTTGCTGAGTAGCATGCAAACATGACATATGACTATTGATTAGGAGGTAGGATGAAGTGAAAGAAAAGCTGACCAACAAATACCACCTTCAAACATCTAGAGAACACACCCTGGTGAGCAACTGTGCTGCTTCAATCTCTAGCGATGCTCAAGCAACAGTGCTGAGGCAGGGCTTCTTTGGTGCTACCCTTTGGTGATCTTAAACCTGGTTTGCTGGAAAAATCATTATTTAGAATGCATTTTCCCATTAATCTCTCCATTCAGAGCGGATGTCTCATTGCAAAATACCAACTGGACAGTGGCAGCAGTGGCAGCAGGAACTTCCCCAGTGGCGTTTGAAGTCGCTTTTGGGTCACACTCGCTGCTGAGAACGGTGTGAGAACGGTCCGGTTCGGTAGCCTTCAGCGACCAGCAATTACCGCAGAACCACTGAGACGATTCTGTTGGTTTGTTGGGTTGCAACACCTCATGCAAATTGTTGGATACTCTTGGCACTCGCGAGGGTCACTTGCGGCTAGCATTCTCCCTTTTCGGATTCTTTACATGAAGGCGAAAAATACAATTACAGCAAATCTGTTGTTGGAAATTAGTTTTTTTGTAATTTTTGACTAAACCATATTAAACCTGTGCACGAAGCAAGACATTGGAGAGGTGATGGGGCGATCGAGGTCGGGGGCTGCAGAAGCTGCTGGGGGACAGAATCAACGGATTTTGGTTTCCCAGAAAAAAGCCCTACCAATCGATTGTGCCCATTCTTAGTGGAGATTGGTAAGCTGCAGGCATTTGTATTTTGCGTTTTTTTTTTCTCTTTCCTTTGCCCAGTCGTGTCAGCAAGCCCACCAGATATCTGCGATGAGGCTAAATTGAGCTGTATGATGTATGGCAGAAACATCATGGAAAAGCAGTGGTGATTCCCCTGCTTTCCTTCTCCAGGGGTCCATCTCGGGTCCATCGACATGTACGATATGCAAGCTTGCAAAGATGGACCCATTGTCCAACTGTATATATATATATGTATATATATATGTATATATATATGTATATATATATGTATATATATATGTATATATATATATAATATATATATATATAATATATATATATATGTATCATATAGTTATCTATAGTTACACCATAATAATCAACAATATTATCCTCCATGATGTGACTTTTCGTGATTTCCTTTGCTCCAAATGGTGGCCGGTGACCCGGTGGCATGCCATCTGTCAGGAGTCGCAGCTCACCGCCCCGGCGGCGGCGGAGACGGCAGCGTGCCAGCTCCTCGCAGCGCTCGCGTCGCCGGCAACGGGCGCGGTCTTCGCCCTCGAGGTCGGGGTTTCACCGGATGGGGATGGCACCAATGGGCTACCAATGGACACAAAAAAGGTAGGTCATGGACTGAGTAAATCTACTGTTAAAATGGTACTAAACCGTTTGATTTAACATCAAACCTCATTCAACCATTCATTTTTTGGGTCAATGACATTTTCGAGACATTTCCAGACAGAACACTTGTGGAGCATTTCTTTTGAGGAGAAAGGGGCGGGGAAAGTTCAACTGGATCAATATTGGTTGAGGATCTGAATTGGGTTCGTTGCATCGATGTATTGATATTAGTACAATTATGCAGATTACCTCCTCATCGAAAAATGGGACAATAATATTACTATCTCATATTTACATCATTTTGCATCCATATTCATTACTATCTCATGATAAGGTAACCGTCCCAAATCATTTTTAACAGTCTCCAGTTGGGACCCCAGGTCTGTGAGCCGGCGCAAGCGGAAGAGCAAGTCCCCCAGCAGGCACTGGTGACGGTGATGGGTCTATATCCATGGATTTTTTTTGATGAATATCAATGAGCACCCAAAAACATGGTACGGGCATGGGGGTTTGATTCTGACCCATCTGAATTGCCAACTCTAGACTTTCAAACCTTCCATATGGGTTTGTCCAAGAATGGGGTGTACCGGTTTTCCGCTGCAAATTGCACATTTTAAGAGGGAAAATTATGATGATCCAGTTGTTTTCGGAGTACTCTATTCGGAGACAAGCCCAAATCATATGGTTAATGAATACTGTCCCATAGTATCCCACAGTATCCCCATCAAATCCCATGATGTACTCACATACACGCAAACGCACATAATAGTATATATTATAAATAAATAATGATGTAGTATGATATGATCCCATACAATGTCGTACGATTTGATATACAATACTTTACTACACTGCAATATAATATTGCATACTATGATATAATTTATAATGAAATACAAAACAGCACAATAAGATATGCTACAATACAATTTGGTTCGATATTATTTAATATAGTATAGTATGGCATAGTATAAATGTAATAAAGGACAATATGACAGAATATAGTACAATACGATATAGTATCGTATAGTATAATGTAACATCCTTATATATATGGCAGAGTATAGTGCAATGCAATGTAATATTAATATAGTGCAATGCAATATAAAATGGCAGAATATGATATGATATGGTATGAATATAACAAAATACCATACAATTCCATACAATGTCATACAGTACCATATGATATATTACTACAATGTAGTAATACACAATGCATCATACCCTAATACAATCTATTATCATCGAGCAATATAATGACCTATGACATACTATAGTAT